TCGGGGGTGGAGGCGTATAGATGTATCTCCGAAGTGAAGGAGGGTACGTTGCCACTGTGCTCCCTGGATTCCCTGCTGTCCACCTACCTGTACATGTAGGAGGGAAGGCCGACCACACCCCTCTCTGAGTGCACCTTGAGAACCGAGATCTTCTGCCGTCAGGGAGATAGGTGCCGTTAGGACAGCGGTACTCCACCGTGGAGTTGAACACGTACTGCTCTTGGGTATGTCTTAGTAGAATAACTGAACCGCTTTGAGGTGGAGGGGGGCATTGTACCGCTGTAGGGCAAAATGAAAATGTAAAAAAAAATCAAAAACTGTCCCAATAAAGAAATGAAACTGATTATAATGACAAGAAACTAATTTACGTATTTATTTATTCAAAAATGCTCCTTCCCAAGCAATTTCGTATCTAAGTATTTTGTACGAAATTAGAATTTCTTCATATTTCATGAAACGAGGAAATTGTTAAAATTATAAAAATGCTATTATTCTAAGTTTTTTTTTTTTTCATCCATTCGTTGAAAATATAACCGATTTCCATGTGTGTACCTGTGCAAGGCGAAACAGTGTGCCAGTGACTGCACATGACGTGCCGTTCAAAGGTCCTATTTTCCTGAAACCAGTAGCCCACATCACACCGAAAGATGGCGACACGGTCGGTAGGAGCAGTTCCAATGTCACTGTCCACCAAGGTACCTTTCGTATGCGGTATAATTGGCGGTTCGTCACATAATGAGACTGAGGCACTCGAAGTAGATGTAAACGTCACATCAGTGGATGGTCCTGTCGTTGATTCTGGAATTATAGCAATAAACCATGATTAGTACTATATCAAAGGCTCACAAATAAGGGGAGTTAGGCCCTAATGTAGGAACAATATTAATTCCCTTTCCTGGAAACTGTAGTTCATTTCCTTCATTACCTAAGTACCGCGGTATATCATATCCAAAATCAATAAAAAAAAAATACGATCGGAAAACCCCTTTGCGAGTTTTAAGTTTCTATATTATTATTTTTATTATTATTATTATTATTATTATTATTATTAGAGCCTGCACTGTTGCCATGGCAAAGAGACTGATGGATATATCTCTTGACGATAGCAATTTAAAGATNTTTATTATATCTAGTAATTTAGAAACAGCTGTTATCTAATAGTTTCAACTTTTCAATTTTATTTTGTATAGCTTTTCTGGTTGTATTTTTGTGAAAATTGCTTTTAAGGTACAGATTAAGTTATTAAAAAAACATCCTGTTTAAGTTGAATAAAAAAAATGACTTGGCATAGTTAATGCTATTAAGAGACAGGATCTTTTAGTTCTAAAATTGCAGAGCAATTTCATTGATTTGATAAATGAAGCAAAAGAAGCCATTTTGCTTGCATTTGGTTACACACACGTTATACATATTTTGTTAAAGTATGATTTTTTTTATTTTTAAATTCATTGTTACAGTGCCATTATGATACAAAATGGTTATTGTGAAAAAAATAAATGTTGCATGCATTTTACACACTCGTTTGTGATTTTGCTGTTAATTTGAATCGACAGTAAAAGCCAGTAACGCTACAGTTGAATGACTGTGCTATAGCCCAAAGAACTCGGCATTTACTTGAAGGTGTCATCTTCAATTTTCTCTCCAGTGTCCACGCATTCCATTGAGGTCTACTCTCGACAAGGTAGTAAAGCCGTCAAATGTATGGGCATTGGGTAAAATTGCTATTATATAAGCAGTCTCACTGAAACGGTTTAGAAATGGTGAATGATTTTAATCATTAAAATGATAAATGTAGAAATGCACAAAATACTTTTGTGTTTGTCAATTTTGATGCTTAATAATAATATTTATTTGAAGTATAAAATCCCTAAAAGTTCAGTTGATTTTACAATGATAAAATGCTAAAATACTGTAGAATAAAAACAAGCTGTAAAACCATAGCTAAGACATTAACTTGAAAGGTACACTTAAAATTACATTTTACAAAGTTTAAACTTCAACTATAAAATTTCTTTGAAAAAAAAAAAAACAGCTGAAAAAAAACCCAGCAATTTCACCATTTTTAATCATGCATCAGTGTTCTTCTTGGTTATCGCCCCCCCCCCAAAAAAAAAATAGAACGGGGCTTCAGCCAAATCTTGAAAATGACAATTTGAGGAAAACTGACATCACAGTATACTCTTTATTCCGAAAGTGACCACACGACGGCGACACAATCGCTAGAAAATAAGCAACTGTAAAAAATTACATTAAATCCAAAGTTGACAAGAAAGCGGTCTGGTAGAACTTAAGCGCCCACGTTTTGCTGTTCTCACGGGCATACAATGTATATCTGTAAAGCACTGAAATTGCGCAAGGGGCGGCACAGTTACCACGCGTCCTGTCTTAGCTCTCTTTGCCTTGAAGCTCTGGCACTCCCAGCGTGAAGAAGTGCGTATGAGTACCACAATAAAAATCGATAATAGGCACAGCCTTGAGCATATGAAATAAATCTTTTTCCATGGCATGAAAATGAACATACTAGTACATGTGTAAGAAGCGAAAGGAATTGCTTTTGAACATGCTAAAACACTTTATCTTCGCTTACCCGATCTTGAACGTACAAAAACATTTGCCTACGTACTAGAGAAGTACATCTAATGACCACTCGGTTCGTCTGCGTATGGACAATTTATGTTTCCTTGATCTAAACTGACTTATAATAAAACTTATAATAATATATGATACACCTATTAAAAGAATAGGGCCTAAAACAAACTAAAGTATAGAGTTGTAAGCTTAGTGTTAAACCGTCGCCATAAATTAACGTTTGACTACGCCAAGCTTCCCCTTTTCTCTTACTTAAATGCTTTACGCTTAGTGTGACAGTACTCTCATATAAAACAGCTCTTTTTTTTCAATTCCTGTCCCCTACATGTCCCCGTGAACTGTCCTTGTCATATCATATTATTACAGCAAAAACGAGGGACATAGGGCCTATTCATTTTGAAACCTCTCCTCTCTAGCATAATCCTTTATCCGATCCGTTAGTGGATACAAACAGGCGCACCAATGACTACCCCCTACTGACGTACGTACTCGACCGCCGTCTACGTGGTCCCTTAAAGCGTCGACAGAAGCGTTTTACGTTACGTAGTCCCTTTTGAGTTTGCTCAAGTAACGTCCGGGCGTCCAGTACAAATATAGTAATACTGATGCCCAACAGGAGTCCTATGGCAAACGTGCTACAGGGAACCACGACGCTCAGACTCGCCTCTTTCGGTGTGGCGGAAAATTTTCGTTGACGTTGGGTGACGCTGGGAATGGAGGCTGAAGTGCAAGTGACAAACTGGTGTGAGACACGAGACAACGCACTCAAATAGGTTATGAATTTTCATGAAACATGAAATCCACTGCAAAATTTAATAGCATTTCTTAAACTAAAATCACCTTTACCAAAATCCTTACAAGGTCCCTTACTTAATATAAGATGACTGAAAGGAAATTAGCTCAATATCCTATAGGGCCCTTTGGAGCATAATTCTTAGACAAGAATCTTACAGAAGGTCCGATAGAATTGCTATACAGTCATGTAGGACTTCTATAGAGTCCTATAAGAAAAAATAGGTAAGGGCATCTTTTCCCTATATACCATTTCGTTTAAATATAATGTGCACACATTAACAAACGCAAGCAAGTGCTAGCACAATCAAGAGCAGGGAAAAAAAAACGCACACGTACCCAGTAAACATACAGTACATCCAGGATAATAAATGTTATGAAAAATGATAAGATCCTGAATGTATGTTTATTGGGTACATTTGCTTTTGTGTTCCTGCATGTGTTTGTTCTTCTACTCCACAAATATCGCATACTTGCAATGTTCATGTAATTGCTAGTATTCATTTTGTTTCTCTAGTAACTAATTGACTGTTTTTTTTTTTTTTTTTTTTTTTTTTTTTTTTTTTTTTTTTT